AAACGCGCATCGGCATATCCCCATAGTGATTTGTGTTCTGCGCATGTTCTATTCGCAAGGAATCTTGGTCTTTTGAGTAGAGGAACTTCTCAGCGCATACAAAAACCCACGTGCAGTATACCGGAAGTAAACATGGCGAGACGCAACACAGCATACTTTTGGAGCGAGGTCAGTACCAGCACCAAAGCGCAAACAAAGGCGATCGCTATCTGCCCCGAACTATTCATTATCCGCGTGCTGCTGCTATTGTTGTTGTCTTTGGATACAGGAAGAAGAATCGGAAATGACGCATATTGCGTCTTAATGTTGTCCGTACGTCTTGACGCTAACCGTGCGTCGCCGTTTACATCGGGATATTGCAATTCCATATACAGGAGAAACTCTCTCTGCTCACGCATGTAAACGGGTTATTCCTAATGTTTCAGAAACCCGAATAGTGACCTTAACCCGACCATAACCCGGAAATTGGCTGCATGTAAACGTAGTCATTGTTTTATAACTCTTGTTTCTCAAAAAGTGCTTTCATTGAGCAAGAGTGCAGACCCACGGGGGGTATGTGGGTCAGGACTGTCAGAATCAGCCTGCCTTTACACAAAGTGATGGGTCTTTTGCCCCTTTTCCTTTCCACCTCGCCCCCTGCCCATGTCTCCAGGCCTTGGGGAAAATGTTCCTTTGGCCTCCATTAAGAGTGTTCAGTGTTGCTCCCCAGCACTCTTGCCACTATTAGTCGAGGAGAGCGACAGTAATAGTGTTGAATGCCTGTGGCATGAGGACAATTCCACACAGCAATGGCAGTCCCAAACTGCAAACTCACACCACAGACCTCAGAGCGGCTCCACGCTGCTGTTGTGTCCTTCTGAAGGAGGTTGCCTCGACTTTGAGATCATCAAGAAAGTTCATGTCAATCTCCACTGAGACTGACGAAGTATGCAGTTTTTTGTTTTGACCATTTCCTTGCATAATAATAAGTTTCAACCAAATTACCAGTTTTTAGCATGAATCAATAGTCAGCAAGGAGACATTAAAATGATGAAAAAAGTCAGTAAAGACATTTATACTATTAAAAAAGATTTGTTGCTGTTCTTCAAACTTCAAAATATTGAATATCAAAACAGCATATTAAAATGGTTTCTGAAAAATCATGACACTGAAGTAATATAAAAATAGAAAACAGTTATTTTAAGTTGGAATAATATTTCGCAAAATGACTGTCTTTGACTGTATTTGCAGTCTTGGTGAACATAAAACTTTTCTTTTAAAATAAATAAATTCTTACTGACATTCAAGGCTTTACAGATACGCATCCTAATACATTTCCGCATCACACTGCTTTTCATTTACCAGTGTACTAAATAGTTCTAGTTTGAAATTTGTGCAAAATTATTTTTTTGGTGATGGCCAAGAAAAAAAATTCTGTACATTTAAAATGTAAGTTTTATAAGGCTGGAGTCAAAAATCATGGATCATGAAATGAAAGAGTAAAACAATCCATGTGGTTTTCCAACAAATTATATCAGAACTGCATTTTAGTGCTTATGTGCTAAAAGATATGTGGATAAAAGACTGAAAACCGTTGCGTGCATTACTGGAAAATGTCGTGTTACTGCAATTTAATGGATTTTGTGTGTGAAAATAGCTAAGAAACATTTCAAATCTTGATGACCATGATGGCTGTCATAATATCTGTAACTATGAATCCCAGCAACAACTTTGTTACCATAGTGAGCTTTTGTAAACATATTTTTAATTTCTTCACAGACAAAGACTCTCAGTTAACACCAGGAAATGTGTTTGCAACTGGGATTCTGTTTTGCTTTTATGCTTTTGACAATAATTCGGAAGCCTGGTTCACATTTTTAAACCAAAGGGTTTATCTATCGATTATCCTTACGGGTCTGATCACAACAGACATCACACTTGGTGCAGCTGGCGATAGTCCGTCTCCCCCTCAATGCCATCTGTCTGGTATGGATCCACCGGGGAGAAAATCCTATGTTGGCAGAAGTTTCCCTTTTGAACTGATCTAAGATCAAATTCCCTTTCCACAAACCTCAATCTCAACCACAACAACAGAAACCACAAATCTGACTTTAGATCAGCACACAAAAACAAGTTTCAGCCAAATTAAGAGGCTCATCCCATGCAAACGGCCACGTTACTGAAAAGAAATTGTGACCGCCGTCTCACATTTGTGTTTGATGTCAGCCAGCATCATCCGAAGACAGACTCATCCTGCGCTGAGATCAAATGACGCTGTGAAGTTTTAATTAAAAACCTTGATTAAAGAAAGACACATTTTGCTTTGAAAGAAGGACGTCAATTTCTCATTACCTTAAATGCACACATGCAAACACACCAATAAACACTGAAAAAGAAGAAAGGGAGTTTGTCTTTGAGGAGGGAGTGTAGAAGTCTCTCTTTGGACTTTAATTATGATTAAGTTCATTAATCATTACCCTCGATAGTGAATTACATTCCAGGTGTGCTTAAACCCATACTATGATGCTTCAAACACTAAACTAAATCCTCTAAGGGTAGTTACACAGAGGATATACTGTAAGGTTGTGGAACAGTGAAAACAAGTATCTGTCTTTAGAAGTTTTTCGGTAACACTTAATTTTGATTGTCCACTACAAACAATAAGTAACTTTGCAACTACATGTCAACTAGCAGTCATTAGAGTGTGTCTGCTTAATATCTGCTAACACTTTATTTTTATGCTCCCCAACAGACATTCTACTGACTATAAGTCACTTTGCAAGTATGTGTTAACTTATTCTACTAACCCTAACAGTCTACTAACAGTATATTACTTAATTAGTTGACATAGTTGCAAAGTTTTTTATAGTTACTAGAATGTCTAAAGTGGACCATCAAAATAAAGTGTAGCCAGTTTTGCCCTCTCAAAGACAAACAGCAGAAAAAAATGCATATAAAAATGGCAAAGAACTCAAGAAGTGCAAAATGGAGCTGATTCAATCATGCTATTGTAACTGGTCAACAAAATCCAGGTCAAATGACAATGCCAACATAGCAGATGTAATATTTATACCACACAACTGCATATGGAATAGAAGAATTTGGAGGCCTGTTTCTGGCTTACAAGAGTAAAAAAAAAAAAAAAGAAAAAAAAGGTAATTGTGGGTTTAAAATAAGAAATAGTCACATTCGATATTAGGTCACACTATGAGCAAGTATGAGAAATACTTTTATTTATTTATAAGTTTATTTTTTTTTTTTTTACTCTGAAAGTGGAAACGGGCATCGTCAATCAAAATGGAAATTTCTATATACACTACAGTCATATGCTGTTATTTTCAAGAATATTTAAAAACAGCTCTGTCCCTCAACAACAGCTAAATGTGTTTCCGAAACAGGCAAATATGTCAATTTATAACTTTTGGTCAAAGTAATTCCATGCAAAAATTAAATTTCAGTGTAACAATGAGTCAACTGCAATAGTGAGGAATAAAAACAACACAAGTCTGTAATACCCATTTGAAACATTAACAGATCTTCTTAGAATTTTTAACCCATTTTAAACCATTGATTGCAACATGATGTAGGTGATATGATGCATTTGTGTTTCTTCACTATCATAAATCCTTGTTTGACTTAATGAAACCGACAAGAATTATAAATAAGAATTTATTTTAAAACATTAAAAACAATATCATTTACATTGTGACTACATGAACACAGCTTCTTCATAAAATGCGCCCGTCGTTTGGACTTTCGGCCAATACGCCAAAACTATGAGGTGGCCACAACTGCAAAATAAAAGCACAGCAAAACAAAATTATTTAATTTCATATTAAATGAAACAGTGAAATGCAACAATGAAACAGTTCATATTAAATTAAAAATTAAATATAGCATTAATCTACTTTATATTATAGTGCAGAAACAACACCTTTTCCTTATAAGACCCTGTAAGAAAAAAACACCCCTGTATCATTTGCCTTTGAGTTTCCAATCAAGGGCTGACAGAAGGTGAGGAGACCTGTTTACAGGGTCATGGGCACGAGACGCTATATGAGACGACAGCTGAAAACAGTTTCAAATGAAGACAGCACACAATTTTTTAGCTAGTTACTGGATAACCGTACTATGAAATAATTGATTTGTATTTACAAAAAAAGTAAAATTCAGAAAGGATCATTTGTATTTCTTGTTTGTGGAAAAACAATACACATGAAAAAAAACAAAAAAAAAACATAAAATGGCAACAGTTCAAACTCAAAAAGCTTGAGGTTTGGCCTTTAGGGAAGCGTATAGGTCACAAGAAACGAGACTGTATCCTCATTACCTTTAAGCAAACGCGTCCTCGGATCAAGGCATAGGGAATTGGGCCATAGCTTCGGGAATCTGTGGAATTCCGAAGGTTATCGCCTTCCAGCCACACATGCCCTCTTGGTACCTAGATTACAGCAGGATGGGAAGAGCAAAATGTTAGATCATAAATCTAACTGAAAATTAATACGATTTATTCGGATTGCAGCCACACCAAAAATGAGGTCTAAAAGGATCCTTTGACTCATGCTTCACATGCAACGCACAATATTAGTTCTCCCAGATTAGAGGATAAAGAAGAAGTTCCTAACAGTGAGAAAGTTCACATGACTTAACTGCTCATCTCAGATGGGAATGGGATCATTTTTACTGACCGCTGGGGCCTCGCACCCAACCCCCCCTTTATCCTCTCGGTTAGGGGTGAAGCCACGCCTCCATGAGCTGCTCCATGGGTCTAGACCACGGACAGACCTGCCAGGCTGGGCCGGCAACCGAGCGAATCCTGATCCACACTGACATCAATTAGGAATAATCTCATCACACAGGGAGAGTGGGGCTGTCAAGCCCCTAATTAAGTCCCCTACACCCCCTCTATATGTGAGGCGAGGGTGAACAACACATCACGTTGTCATTATAAACATAACAGTATATGGAGACGCCTATCTGGCACTGACCAAACTTTAATAAGAATTTTTATCCCCCCCCCACCCCCATATAATCATATGAAGATTTCCACACAGTAGGATTTTATGTGCTCAACTGTTAAGAAAGCGTACTTACGGTCACGCCAGATATCTAACAAAGCCGTTTCATGCTTCAACGTGTGAAAAACAAAAACAAACATGACTTACAAAACGATTTGCTGACCTTCTGTATTGGTAACAAACTCATCATTGACAAATGCGAAAAGAACCGTGATTATAAACATATGTCAGCGTGTATTCGTCTTGCAGTCGACTCTCATTAGCATGAAAACATATGTTTGATCCCATCCACAAGAAATCTCAGCCTGTCGTCATCTGCTGTTCAGAAGCGAAGCTTTTGTCCTATCTGTCAGCCAAGCATGCGAGACTTCACACCATACTGTGACCAGACACAAATGTTGACAACCCTGCATTCGATCATACAAATGGGAGGCATGTTAGAAACATCTTGATTCTGGTCAACAAAACACCTCTACAACTAATGTAAATCAGTACTATAGGGCTTGTCTTATCTTTGACTTGCATTCCTAGCTTTGTTTTACTACAACCTTTTTTATTTTTTGGTAACTGAATAGAGTCCTACAGGGATTATGTCATTTTGTAGGCCAAACCAGAAGTCCACATCACCGTTGTTCCCTTGACAAAATACCAAAACGTTTTTTAGGGGCCAAGCCCTAAAGGGGCTGATATTGCCAGGATCGGATGAACCATTGGTTCGCCATTTCGAATTTTGTCATACATTTCAATATTTTTTAAATGATTTGACATACAGCATCGCCACAAAATTAGATAGGGATTGTTGACAGCATGTCCTGAAGGTACCTGAGAAGTTCAGCTCCACCTAGTGTTCCAGAGATATAAGCATTTTTGCAAAAACACATAACTTTTGAAAACATTGTCCAAAATTTGTCCTTTTGTTCCCCTGCTTATGCCGATTCAGACAAGATCTCATTTGACATTTTTCATCAATGTGCCTGTCTGCCATGTTAAATGAAACGAAAAACTGTTTGTCCAATTTTGTCCAAATTTGATCATAATGATCTTTGGACCGAGCCGCACAGAAATGACTGAACGGATATTCACTACCGTTTCTGAGAAATACCTCTCCGAAGTTGACCTTGTTTGTTGTCTTATGTTAGTTAGCTTAGCATGCTAATTGGTTGCTGACTGCATGCTAACTTTGCTAACAGCACTCTAATGAACACGATCACACATTTTCCCCTGTTTATACTATAGGTCTCGTCCATTAACATATCGTGGTTTGGAGACATGCAGTGCAAAATAGCTGCCTAAGATCACACAGCCAAATCAGTAATTAGCCTTCTATTTTTGATTGACAAATCCTTTACTTTCCCAAAGGCATTTTATATAGAGAAAGAAACAAATCATCCTGTCATACTGAAGGTAGTATTTACTTGCCAAGAGACTTTTTTTCACAGATTTGACTATATTAGCATTAGTTTTGTGTTTTCTGTCAGCTATAAATAAGAATCAACATAAAACAACAACTGTGACCTTGCAACAAAAATGCAGCGAAAGACAAAATGGCCATTAGGCTTTTATGCAATCAGAATTAAATCAGAATGCAAATAAATGCAAGAAAGAAGACCAATCGCAATTCAATATATGTAAATAATCGCTGTTAATTTTGAATAGCATTCTAAGTCAATGGGAAATTTTCAAACTTTAATCTTAGATTTTAAAAGGAGAAGAAAAAGTATCAGAACATTGATGCCTAGTAATTGTTCTGCAATTCATTAAATTGTCATTGTAATCGGTTTAGGTTTGACTAGTACTGAGAGACTGAGCAAACTTCAACAATCTTTTTCAGCTGAGGCTTTGTATCTCTTTACCTTAAAGGACTCCAGTGACAGGCCTTTCTTTCTCTCCTTTCTCTTCATCACTTGCTCTACTCATCTGTCACTAACACTAACAGCTTCGGGAAAAATTACAGGCCAGAACCGCACACAGGCAAGGTGAAAAAAAAAGAAAAAGAAAAACAAGTGATACCAAAAAGCAATAACAGCTATTTCAGTGAAAGGGTGGCTATGCTCTCTCTGGACCAATAATAACTGAGAAACAAGCATTTGCTTCTTCCACAAGGTAAACGTTTTACCCAATGGACGTGAATGCATGTGAAATTCAAATGCATACACCTTAAGAGTAAACGCAGTGGTTCATACTAAAAGAAGAAAAAAATGTAGTTGAAGACTTCAGAAAGTGTCTATGCATTATGAAGGCAGAGCTCATGTCAGTGCACTACAGTAGGTACTCACGTAAGTGTGTGTTTTAAAGATATCAGATGGTCCACTGGTGCAGACTTTGTCCCCCTCCAGTCCGATCACTCTTTTACAGATGTTCATCTTCGGATCAAAAGGACTTTTGGCTATTACAATATCCCCTCTGGAAGAATGTAACAGGTGAGGTCAAAAACGAAGCCAATAGTTTGGCATGAAAGTATGATCAAAAATAAAATAAACACTAAAGTAAGCATTTCATACACACTCACTTTTGTATTCGACAGAGGTGACGGCTTACTCGTTCTGAGAAAACCACATTGTGGTTAGTGATGGTGGGTTCCATGGACGGTCCTGAACACTGTTGTACAGTAGGTGAATTGTGGGTAGCATTAAGAATTTATATGTATTTCTTTGTCTGTTTCACCAAATGATTTGACTAAACATCTCCAGGAAACTTACCGACACAAATTCACCAATATACTCAAAGGCACAGTGAGCGATGCAGCCATACTGGACGGTGTAACCAACAAAGCTAACTGTCTTCACAAAGAAACCACGAAACATCCTGCCACTCCTCACAAATGCTGAAATAAAAAAAGAGTCTATATTTAAAAAATAATCATTCACAACCAACATTAATATTGTCATGCAGGAGAGATTTGAGCACATTTACTGATTTCCTTCGAGTTATAAACCAGGTTGATGAAAATTAAAGTCTGAGATTGAAACTTAAATTTAGTTTTCAGGAATAGTGACAAGAAATTACCGGAGTGGAAATGGAAAAGGGAAGTCGGCATGAAATGGAAATTCATTTCCATCAAATGTAAATCTATTTTCTAAATGCATCTTATTGTGCAAATATTTAAAAAAATTAACTTTTTTTTTTGGAGTTTGTAATTTTCAATTATAATATCATCACCTGCATAAGAATAAAGCATGTGCAAATTTGAGCATGTTTAAAATTTAGTAGTTAATGAGCTTTCCGAACGGCTAGTTGAACTGGTTTGTTCACTAGTCGGTTTTATTATATCTTATTAAAAAATAGCACATGCTTGTGTATGGCAGTGTTGTTATTGGTAACTTAAAATTATTTTCAGTAATTAAAATAAAGCTGTAAAATAAAACGGTAACACTTTACAATAAAGTTCAATAAAATTGTTAGTTAGCTGCTTAGTTGACATAACGAACTGTGAAATTATTAATCTTAGTTAATGTACATTTAAAAAATTACTAATACAGTAATAAAATAAAAAATGTTATGTTTATATTATTTAATGGATTTGAGCTAACATGTACTAACAATGATTATTTGTATTACCCAATGTTAACAAAGAGTAATAAATAAGTTAACAAATGTATTGCTCATTTTTAGTTAATGCATTAACTAATAGGACCTAATTGTAAAGTGTTACCAATAAAACATTAGATGAAAAACACAAACTGATAAAAATGATTTAAAGGAATAGATGAAAATCAAAAAATAAGAATTTAATTTTTTTTATTCTGTTTATTCTAAACAAAATACATTTTAAAGAATGTTGGTAACCAAACAGTTGACGGCACCCATCGACTTCCATAGTAGGAAAAAAAAAAATACTATGGAACAGGTTTAGAACAACTTGAGGGTGAGTAAATGATGACAACATTTTCATTTTTGGGTGAACTATCCCTTTAAACTAATTTTTTTTTTAAATATCAAAATAAATGCTAATAAATATTATGATAGTATAGAAATAATACTAAAATAATATGTATGGCGCTTTCAAGACACATGAATTAAATCCCAAATTTAGATTGTAACAACATAAATTAATATTTGTATTAATTATCAAATGATTAGTTGACTCTGGAGCTTTAACCGCTACACCGTGACTCCAAATGAAAACCTAAAATTTGCATGGAAATTCTCAATTGGAAATCTCACTCAGTGCCAAAAACTGACGTCACATGCCTGTGCCAGAGGGTCGAAAGTGTCTTTTAAACACTTTGTCACTGAGGTGGTGTTGGTGGGGAAATGCACCTCACACATTTAATGCTAACGGTTAAAACTGTGAAACCAAAGTGATCATTAGAGATGGTGTTTCATTCTCAGTAGCCTCTACAACCCATCAACAAGGCACAAAGGTCGCTCCTTGTGCCTTGTTGATGGGTTGGGCATCTGACCCTGTCTGAAACAACCCAATCTACACCTGTGGGAGCAGGTGACAGCGCTTGCAGGCACAGGTTCATCTCCTCGAACTCAAAAAAAAAAAAAAAAAAAAATGAAGAGTTACGCTATGGCCATAGCAACAGAACACAAGGTCCTTTGTTTGTCCTCGCACCCCGGCTCTTTAACTGATAAAACTGTGGTGCGTTGTCTGAATAAACAGTCCATCCTCACTCAAACTATTGACTTTTCCTTGGCCATCAAGCTAGCAGGGTGCGTGAGTCAATAAAGGTCATGTTTGGATGTTTGTACACATCCATGAAACCTCGCTTGACAGATAAACAGCTCAAAAGATAAACCAACACTTCAGTGGTGTGCCGTTTGTCAGTTTACAGGCTGGTTCATAACAAGAAACTCTAAAAAACGAGCTCTTGCGCAATTAGAAAACGAATCTTCAAAAGAACAACCGCGCTGGATGTCCAATGAAGGATAAACCTCAATCTTTTCTCCTGAAACAAACCAAAGGAATTAAGGCGACCCGGCCGAGCAGAAACTAAACGAAACCGAGCCCTATCCCAAAAGCCCCTATTGCCTCGGGAATGACATCTCCAATATGGGGCGGAATTAATCCCCCTGTCCCCTACTTCCTCCATCTCAGTCCCAGGCCAAGTGTCAGGTGTCTGTCTCCGTGTGTCATGGAAAGTGCTACACCTAATCCCATTACCCACCAGCCATCTCTTCGCCCCATACCTCCGTCCCCGACACCCCTTTCAATCCATTCCGGTCAGACATTGAATCCACACCTTTGAATCCTCATAATTACGTCGGATACCCCCAACACAAGCACGGTGTACGAGAGAGTTAGCTCTTCTACCCGAAGGCCCCCTCCGTCCAGGGATGTTTCTGCCTGACTGGATGTAGTCGTATCTCAGGGAGGCAGTGAAAGGGCCAGCTGTTGTTTTGCTTATCAAACTCCAGGGTGGGGCGAACAAACTATTGTTTCTGGGCCGTTTTCCCTGCCAATTGATAGTGGACACAGATTCTCTGCCTGAACTATAACATATACTGTACGCTTTGCATTTAAATCGCTATATGCTCGTTATAAAATGCATCTTTTGGGACACAACAATTATCATAATTTTAATAGTAAATATGGGTAATTGGTAACCCGTAAGTTACTCTATACGGTGAAAAACTGTAATAAATCTAATGGGACACTTCATGTATAGTTTTACAGTAAATTTCCAGGGGTGTTTGAATTTAAAGACGCAACTTTTCTGAGGATTTTGCTGTGCAAACTGTCTAAAAACTAAAGCATAGCATACTATCAGCATAAAGCACTTCTATTAATACTTCTACTCAGCAAGGATGTTATATTGAACATGCGTGATAGTATACAAAATATACATTTTTTAAATGCTGTTTTTGATGTATGAAATTTTCTTGAGCACCAATGGTTTAGAATGATGTCTGAAGGATCATGCGATTCATTCAGTATTGCATTTACGCAAATTACATTTTAAAATATATTAAAATAGAAAACATTTATTTTAAATTGTAATCATTTTTCACAATATTACTGTTTTAACTTAGTGAGCATATGGGTCTTCTTTCAAAAATATAACAAAATCTTACCCACCCCAAACTTTTGAACGGATATAAACTATTAAACAATAGACAACAGGTCGACTCGACTCGAAATGATTCAGATTCTGTTAACAACAAAGCATGTTGATCCAGAAATATTCCTTTAGTTCTGTCCATCATTTTACTTTATTCTGATTGGCTCTATCTTTCATTCTTGTCTTGACCCTAAGAGACTCTCAGGCTCATAAACCGGCTCGGCAGAATGTGTTGCGGAGAACACAGCATCCCCAAATACCGTCTAGTCGTCCAATCACCAGCACGTCACTGTTGTGGGCGTCCAGCATAGGTGAGGATTAAGGATTTAGCATAATAAGATTACACGGCCAGTGAATGATATCAAGAGACAGTCCATATGCGGCCGCCTGGTTTTCCACTGGCACCCTGTGTGTGTGTGCGAGGGACTGGGTGAGTCAGCTGCTTGAAATCAAATGGAGTTTAGCCAAAATCAAACAGACCTTCAGACAATTGAGATTAAATCTCTATTTCTGAACATTCCCCTGTGTGTTCAGAACAAGCACTATCTGCCACATGATTCCCTAGACGGGGAAGTGACGGACCAAAATGAATTGTATCTAACAATTGGATAATTAACTCCAAGTCTCCCCTTAATCCAGGATTACACAGTACAATGTATGTATTTATATATATTTGCAACACTGAGTCACATAGAGCATCTCTGGAGAGCCATCTGTGGCCCCAGACCCCCAAAACCCATAATGCAACAGAAGGGAGAAAGGGTTCCTAGAGTGCTGAGAAGCAGGTGGCATCAAAATGCCCTTTTAATCCTATAAATCTGTTGTAAAAACAAACTTCTGAAATTGAACAAATCTCTTGAGAGTGAGCGGCCATCAATGTTGGTTTAGCAGCATTTAATCTGATAAACTGCTCTAAAAAAATAGACAGTTTGTCTTGGCAACAAGTATGACAAAAAGAAGAAAAAAAGAAAAAAAAATGTTTTATTGAGTATTAGATAAATAAATCAAGCTGTTACATCATGTCTTGAACTCATGGCATGGGTGTTGACTTAATATGGCAGCTGAAGTAAAAATAAAAAGTTCAAATATATGAAATAGTTTAATAGACCATAGAGACTCATTCAGTTGCACATCTGTTTTAGCAAAAAAAAAACACCTAAATTAAAACAGTCAAAGCGCTATTTAAACATTTTGGCCTACAAAGCAATTTCGGAGGAAACTAAAATATTTGACTAAGTTTGCCTAGATTCTGGTTCATCACTACATACACTCACCTAAAGGATTATTAGGAACACCATACTAATACTGTGTTTGACCCCCTTTCGCCTTCAGAACTGCCTTAATTCTACGTGGCATTGATTCAACGAGGTGCTGAAAGCATTCTTTAGAAATCTTGGCCCATATTGATAGGATAGCATCTTGCAGTTGATGGAGATTTGTGGGATGTACATCCAGGACACGAAGCTCCCGTTCCACCACATCCCAAAGATGCTCAATTGGGTTGAGATCTGGTGACTGTGGGGGCCATTTTAGTACAGTGAACTCATTGTCATGTTCAAGAAACCAATTTGAAATGATTCGAGCTTTGTGACATGGTGCATTATCCTGCTGGAAGTGGCCATCAGAGGATGGGTACATGGTGGCCATAAAGAGATGGACATGGTCAGACACAATGCTCAGGTAGGCCGTGGCATTTAAACGATGCCCAATTGGCACTAAGGGGCCTAAAGTGTGCCAAGAAAACATCGCCCACATCATTACACCACCACCACCAGCCTGCACAGTCTTAACAAGGCATGATGGATCCATGTTCTCA